CAGCCAAAAGGGCACCCGGACTGGTGTATTTTGTACGGAGAACTGCTGCTCCGGGGCTCTGACAAAGCAGCCGTGCGGGGCAAAGCAGCGGCGCCAGCCGGCACAGCCGCGCTGGCTGAAACAGCTGCACTGGCGACCTGTGGAGCTCCTCCGCCTGGGAATTGCCTTCTCTGTGGGCAATAAAAATGCGGCACCCACTCACCCTCTGCGTTTTCACTGGGATCTGCAATCCTGAGCTGTTCCTAAACGGCCATCTCGGATTGATCCCCCTAAATATTCTTGATCTTGGATTAGGCCGGGTGTAGTGGTGCTCATCTGTAATCCCAGCTACTTGGGAGGCTGAGGCAGGAGAACCTCTTAAACCTGGTAGGCAGAAGTTGCAGTGAGCCGAGACCAGGCCACTGCACTCTAGCCAGGGTGACACAGTGAGACTCCGTCTCAAAAAAAAAAAAAAAAAAAAAAAGGGCTATTCTTTCTTAGATATGATAGCAAAAGTACATGCAAAGAAAAAATAAATTATATATCATCAAAATTTTAAAATTTTGTGCTTCAAAGGGTAGTACAAAGAATGTAAAATGATGAGGCACAGAATGAGAGAAAATATTTGTAAATCATTTATATAATATTTAGTATCCAGAATATATACAGGATCCTTGTCATTTGTATGATAAACAAATTTTTAAGAATGGGCAAAAGATCCGAACAGACATTTCTCCAAAGAGACGGAAATGGATAATAAGCAGTTGAAAAGATGCTCAACATCTGTAGTCATCAGGGGAATGCAAATCAATACTACAATGAGATACCATTTCATACCCACTAGAATTGCTGTAATCAAAACAGGAACAGTAACAAGTATTGGTCAGGACATGGATGAATTGAAAACTTCATGCATTGCAGGTGGGATGTAAAATAGTGCAGCCACTTTGGAAAACAGTCTAGCTGTTCCTCCAAAAATTAAACATAGAGTTACTATATGACCCAGCAATACCATTCCTAGATACATGCCCAATACAATTGAACATATATATCCATGCCAAAACTTGTACACACATATTCATAGCGATGTTCATAAAAGTCAAAAAGTGGAAACAATCAAAAACATCCATAAACTAATGAATGAATAAGCAAAATGTTGTAGATGTATTATTTAGGCATAAAAAGTAATGAAATATTGATACATATTACTACATGGATGAACCTTGAAAACATTATGCTAAGTGAAAGAGACCAGACACAAAGGCCACATACTGTATAATTTCCCTAACATGAAATGTCCAGAATTGCCAAATCCATAGAGACAGATAATAGATTCACGGTTGCCAGGGACTGGTGAAAGGGAAGGGAGGCATGGAGACTGACTGCTAATGGGCCCCAGGTTTCTTTACGGATGATGAAAATGTTCTGGAATTACATATTGGGGGTGGTTGCACAAACTTGTGAGTATACTAGAAACCACTGAATGTGCACCTTGAAACGTTAAATTGTATGGTATGCAAACTATAGCTCAAAAACAAATAATTTTGTTGGTTTTTAAAATATGTAAATAATTTTTAAAGGTTATGAGAAGCCACATATATGTGGTATTATGCTGAGCAAAAAGATTAAGCTGAAAATTTCTTAGGAATTTGCTGGTACACTAAAAATGTACAGGCCTTAAAGAAAATATGTATTTGCTTTAAAGAAAATACATTTCTTGGATACTAGCAATATTACATTCCTTGGGTAATTAGCCCTCCTCCACTTCCCACTCCCCAAATTGCCCAAAATATTGACTTGATATGAATGATACTTCCAAGAATCCTTGCCAGATTCTCTAGTAATTATTAGATTTACAATATATGTATACGATAATTTCATTTCTCCCATGCTCTGTCCAAGTCAAAATTTAAAAGGAGATATGAATCTTGAAATTTTACATTTTTATTTGGGAAGGAAGAATTACAGTTTGGGGACCGGGTTGTCTTTGGTATGTCTGAAAAACAAAGAGAAGGTTGGAGGTTTTATCAGAAGGAGAAGTGTTATATATATAGTGCTCTTTGAGAAAGACCATGGAACCAGTGAGGTTCTGGGAAGCTGGCAAGCTCTAATTGGTAAGTGACTGTGGTGGGTAGAATTAGTCCTATATTTGCAGCAAGCTATCTCAGCAGCTGTAAATAAAATTGGCCTCAGGTTAAAGCAGGCTGTTTCAGCAGCCAGACTTGCAGAGAATTCCATTCTTTGAGCAACGTTATGTGTCCTGAGTGCTTCCCCACCACCCCACCCCGGCTTCTTGACTGTTTTGGTTGGGTATGACAAGAATGACTCAATTTGTATGATCAACTTTCACACTTGGTTTCACTTTACTTTGATATCTTTTTTTTCTGTCTTGCATTTTTTTCTCGACATTTCATTATGAAAATTTTCAAATGTGCAGCAAGGTTTAAAGAATTTCATGGTGAATGTTACTCCTGCTACCTAGATTCCACCACTAACCTTTTTTCTACATTTGCTTTATCATATACTTACCCATTTACCTACCTCTCAATCCATCTATCAATCCATCTTTTTTTTTTTTTTTTTTTTTTTTTTTTTAGAGACAGAGTCTCACTCTGTCCTCAGGTTGGAGTGCAGTGGCACAATCTCAGCTCATGCAACCTCTGCCTTTTGTGTTCAAGCAATTCTTGTGCCTCAGTCTTCTGAGTAGCTAGAATTACAGGCATGCAGCACTATGCCCTGCTAGTTTTTGTATTTTTCATAGAGACGTGGTCTTACCATGTTGGGCAAGCTGGTCTCAAACTCCACCCGTCTTGGCCTTCCAAGGTGCTGGAATTACAGGTGTGAGTCACTGTGCCCAGACTAAGCCATCCTACTTTATGTATTTTAAGCTAAATTACAGCTATTACACATTCCCTTAAATACCAGCATGCATATCAATTATACAGTTCAATATTTGCTTATAGTTCTTACTTTTGAGAGAAAATTTACAAAGCAGAAATCTCAAGTATTCAATTTGCTGAGTTTTCACAAATGCATACACCTGTGCTACTCAAACCCCTGCTAATATATAGAACATTTATCATCACCCCAGACAATTCTCATGTCCTTTTCCATTCAATTCCTACTCGCTACCCTCAAGAAGCAACCACAGTTCTGATGGTTTTCTACCACAGATTACTTTTGCCTGTTTGAGAACTTCGTATAAATGAAACAGTATATAATGTACTGCTTTATGTAAGGCTTCTTTCACTCAGCATAATTGGGATTCTTTTTTATGGCTGAATAGTACTTCACTGTCTAAGTGTGCCACATTTTGCTTGTCCGTTTTACTGATGGGTATCTGGTCTGTTACTGATTTTGGGGTATTACTAATAAAGCAGTGACAAAAGAAACGTTTAATTTGAAGAATGGAAATCTCCTCCAAATTACCAGGTCCAGAGAGGCGTGGGAGTGAAACAGCAGTCACATCTCTCTTACCTTCTTGGGCTAAGTAATCATGTCTTAAAACTTGCTTGCTATTGCCACCAGTAGCTATAAATTAATCACATTCTGGATACCATAATCCATACATTGTAGCCAATCACTAATCAACATTATTTTTGTAAACCAGTGTGAATTTCTTTTTTTTCGAGACAGAGTCTCACTCTGTCACCCAGGCTGGAGTTCAGTGGCACAATCTCTCCTCACTGCAACCTCCGCCTCCTGGGTTCAAGCGATTCTTCTACCTCAGCCTCCTGAGTAGCTGGGACTACAGGCACATACTAACACACTTGGCTGATTTTTGTATTTTTAGTAGAGACAGGGTTTCACCATATTGGCCAGGCTGGTCTCAAACTCCTGACCTCATGATCTGCCCGCCTTGGCCTCCCAAAGTACTGGGATTACAGGCATGAGCCACCATGCCTGGCCAACCAGTGAGAATTTCTGACAAATAGCTTTGTATCAGCCCACTCCGGCCCCCACTTTTTTTTTTTGCCTTTAAAAATCTGCTTGTAACAAAGGCTGAATGGAGCACCTGTACAAGGTTACATGAAGTATAAGTCTTCTGGGCAGCTGTCCTTATTTTGGCTCAAGTAAACTCTTTAGAATTATATTTTATGCCTCAGTTCCTTTCTTTAGGTTGACAGCTGCTGTGAACATTTGTATACAAACCATTTGTAGACATAGGTTTTCATTTCTCTTGAGTAAATATTTCTGAGTGGGTCATAAAAGGTACATGTTAATTTTATGAAACTGAAAGACTTTTCTCCCAAATTGTACCATTTTACACTCCCATCAGCAATGTATGAGTACTGTGGTTGCTCCATATCTTATGCTGACATTATGTGTTTTTGGTCTTTTTAATTTTAGACATTCTGTTGGGTGTGTGGTAGTTTCTGCCTTGCATTTTAATTGACTCTTGCATACCTTTCTTCTGCTCTTGATACTAAGCTCCAAAAATCAGGATAATCAATTGTACCCCCTCTAGTATGTTCTTTTAGTGTCATAGTTGTGAAATAAATGTGAAATGAGGGTAATAATGTTTTGATATCTAGCTTTGGGAATTTGATGTGAAAAAAATTGAGGCTATGAAAATATATATAGATAAATTTGACCAGAAATGTCATTAAATAGTTATACTTTATTGGAATTAAGAGTTATTTCTGGCGTGGCCAGAAATAATTAGCTAGGAGTACAGGCGCACGCCACCACTGGTGGCTCACACTAGTAATCCCAGCACTTTGGGAGCCCAAAGCTAGAGGATCATTTGAACTCAAGAGTTTGAGTCCAGCCTGGGCAACATATAGAGACCCTATCTTTACAAAATATTTAAAGCTTAGTTGGATGTGGTGGCATAAGCCTGTAGTACCAGCTACTCAGGAAGCTGAGGTGGGAGGATCACTTGTGCCAGAAAGGTCATGGCTACAGTAAGCTGTGATTGTGCCACTGCATTCCAGCCTGGGCAACAGAGCAAGACATGTAACAAAAAAAAAAATTATTTTTTATACCAAGAATTTATTTACATTGCCAATTTTTCCTAGGTACAAATGATGCAAAATGTGCACCTGGCTCCAGAGACAGATGAAGATGATCTTTATTCTGGATATAATGACTACAATCCAATCTGTGATATCGAGGTAACAAAAGCTAGTTGTTTTTTACATTGGTCTTTGTTAACCAGCTGGTTTAGGAAGATTGTGGATTTGAGAGTTCTACTTTATTATGCTTTAGATTAAGCTAATCCAAAAACCTAGGAAAGTGCTATTACAGAAGACTCTACTGACTTCTGCCAAAAATAATAATTGCAGCAGAAGGAAAGATCCTGAGATAGTTTACAAAAATGAATTAAGGTTAGGCTGGGTGTGGTGACTCACGCTGTAATCCCAGCACTTAGGGAGGCCGAGGTGGGCGGATCACCTGAGGTTGGGAGTTTGAGACCAGCCTGACCAACGTGGAGAAACCCCGTCTCTACTAAAAATATGAAAAATTTAGCCAGGTCTGGTGGCGCATACCTGTATCCCAGCTACTTGGGAGGCTGAGGCAGGAGAATCACTTGAACCCAGGAGGCGGAGGTTGTGGTAAGCCGAGATCGCACCATTGCACTCCAGCCTGGGCAACAAGAGTGAAACTGCGTCTCAAAACAAAAAACAATGACAAAAATGAAGTAAGGTGAATTATATACTTGTGTTCTTCAGCGCTCGCTGTCCAAATATGTAAAAGAGCACCTGAAAGTATATTTTTTTAATTGTACTTTAAGATCTGGGGTACATGTGCAGATATTGCAGGATTGTGCATAGGTACACACATGCCATGGTGGTTCGCTGTCTCCATCTCCCATCACCTACATCAGGCATTTCTCCCAGTGTTATCCCTCCCCAATTTCCCACCTCCAACAGACCCCAGTGTGTGACATTCCCCTCCCTGTGCCCATGTGTTCGCATTGTTCAGCACCCACCTGTGAGTGAGAACATGCAGTGTTTGGTTTACTGTTCTTGGTTCAGTTTGCTGAGAATCATGGTTTCCAGATTCATCCATGTCCCTACAAAGGACATGAACTCATCGTTTTTTATGGCTGCATAGTATTCTGTGGTGTATATGTACCACATTTTCTTTGACCAGGCTATCATTGATGGGCATTTGGGTTGGTTCCAGGTCTTTGCTATTGTAAACAGTGCCACAATGAACATACGTGTGCATGTATCTTTATAATAGAATGATTTGTAATCCTTTGGATATATACCCAGTAATGGGATTGCTGGATCAAATGGAATTTCTATTTCTAGATCCTTGATGAATCACCATACTGTCCCTGGGATGAAGCCTACTTGATCATGATGGATAAGCTTTTTGATGTGCTGTTGCATTCGGTTTGCCAGTGTGGTTTTTACATTGATGTTCATCATGGATATTGGCCTGAAGTTTTCTTTTTTAGTTGTGTCCCTGCCAGGTTTTGGTATCAGGATGATGTTGGTCTCATAAAATGAGTTAGGGAGGATTCCCTCTTTTTGTATTGTTTGGCATAGTTTCAGAAGGAATGGTACCAGCTCCTCTTTGTACATTTGGTGGAATTTGTCTGTGAACCTGTCTGGACCTGGACTTTTTTTGGTTGATAGGCTATTAATTGCTGCCTCAATTTCAGCCTTGTTATTGGTCTCTTCAGGGTTTCAGCTTCTTCCTGGTTTAGTCTTTGGAGGGTACAAGTGTCCAGGAATTTATCCATTTCTCCCAGATTTACTGGTTTATGTGCAGAGAGTTGTTTGTAGTAATCTCTGGTGGTAGTTTGTATTTCTGTGGAATTGGTGGTGATATCCCTTTGATTGTTTTTTATTGTATCTAGTCAATTCTTGTCTCTTTTCTTTTTTATTAGTCTGGCTAGTGGTCTATTTTGTTGATCTTTTCAAAAACCCAGCTCCTGAATTTATTGATTTCTTGACGGGTTTTTTTTTTGTGTGTCTCTACCTCCTTCAGTTCTGCTCTGATCTTAGTTATTTCTTGTCTTCTGCTAGCTTTTTTTGATCTTGCTCCTCTAGCCCTTTCAATTTTGATGATAGGGTGTTGATTTTAGATCTTTCCTCGCTTTTCATGTGGCATTTGTTGCTATACATTTCCCTTTAGACACCGCTTTAAATGTGTCCCAGAGATTGTGGTATGTTGTGTCTTTGTTTTCATTGGTTTCAAACAACATCTTTATTTCTGCCTTCATTTCATTGTTTATCCAGCCGTCATTCAGGAGCCAGTTGTTCAGTTTCCATGTAGTTGTGCAGATTTGAGTGAGTTTCTTAATCCTGAGTTCTAATTTGATTGCACTGTGGTCTGAGAGACTGTTTGTTACGATTTCCATTCTTTTGCATTTGCTGAGGAGTGATTTACTTCCAATTATTTGGTCAATTTTAAAGTAAGTATGATGTGGTGCTAAGAAGAATGTATATTCTGTTGATTTGGGGTGGAGAGTTCTTGTAGAAGTCTATTAGGTCCACTTGGTCCAGATCTGCATTCAAATCCTGGATATCCTTGTTGATTTTCTGTCTCATTGATCTAATATTGACAGTGAAGTGTTAAAGTCTCCTACTATTATCGTGTGCAAGTCTAAGTCTCTGTGTAGGCCGTTAAGAACTTGCTTTATGTATCTGGGTGCTCCTGTATTGGGTACATATATATTTAGAATAGTTAGCTCTTCTTGTTGCATTGATTCTTTTACCATTATATAATGCCCTTCTTTGTCTCTTTTGATCTTTGTTGGTTTAAAGTCTGTTTTATCAGAGACTAGGATGGCAACCCCTGCTTTTTTTTGCTCTCCATTTGCTTGGTAAATCTTCTTCCATCCCTTTATTTTAAGTCTATGTGTGTCTTTGCACATAAGATGGGTCTCCTGAATACAGCACACCGGTGGGTCTTGACTTTTTATCCAGTTTGCCAGTCTGTGTCTTTTGATTGGGGCATTTAGTCTGTTTACATTTAACGTTAATATTGTTATGTGTGAATTTGATCCTGCCATTTTGTTACTGACTGGTTGTTTTGCTCATCAGTTGATGCAGTTTCTTCATTGCGTCGTTGGTCTTTATCATTTGGTACATTTTTGCAGTGGCTGGTACTGGTTGTTCCTTTCTGTGTTTAGTGCTTCCTTCAGGAGCTCTTGTAAGGCAGGTCTGGTGGTGACAAAATCTCTCAGCAATTGCTTGTCCATAAAGGATTTTATTTCTCCTTCACTTATGAGGCCTAGTTTGGCTGGATATGAAATTCTGGGTTGAAAGTTCTTTTCTTTAAGGATGTTGAATGTTGGCCCCCTCTCTCTTCTGGCTTGTAGGGTTTCCACCAAGAGATCTGTTGTGATTCTGATGGGCTTCCCTTTGTGGGTGACCTGACCTTTCTTTCTGGCCGCCCTTAGCATTTTTTCCTTCATTTCAACCTTGGGGTTGCTCTTCTTGAGGAGTATCTTTGTGGTGTTCTCTCCTGGACTGTGGGTTGCAAAGGCCCTGGGAGAAGCACAGTATCTGAACTGGAGTGCTGAAGGGGTAAAGTCCCCGATTCTCAGGCCAGTTGTACTTCCCGGGTGGGGCAGTGCCCCACCCTGCCTCAGTTTGCCCTCCTTGGGCTACACCCAATGTCCAACCAGTCCCATTGAAATGAACCTGGTACCTCTGTTGGAAATTTGGAGATCACTCACCTTCTACATCTCTCTCACTGGGAACAGTGCTCCGGAGCTGTTCCTAATCAGCCATCTTGGCAGAAGTCTGAACACAAGTATTTAAAATTAAGGTTTTTTAAAAAAAATTCTGAAGTTGAAATGTCATGGGTTTTTTTCTTTTTTAATTTTTGTGAGTACATAGTAGGTGCATGTATTTATGGAGAATATGGGATATTTGATACGGGCATACAATGTGTAATAGTCACATAAGAGTACATAGGGTTTCTGTTACATCAAGCATTTATCCTTTGTGTTTCAAACAATCCAATTATATCCTGTTAGTTATTTTTAAATGTACCATTAAATTATTGACTATAGTCACCTTATTTTGCTACCAAATAGTATATCTTACGCATTCTTTTTTTTTTCTGTACCCGTTAACCATTAGCCATCCCCACCCCCCGCCCCTGCCACTACCCTTCTCAGTCTCTGAAATCATCCTACTATTCTCTATCTCCATGAGTTCAGTTGTTTTAATTTTTAGATCCCACAAATAAGTGAAAATATGTGAAGTTTGTCTTTCTGTGCCTGGCTTATTTCACTTAACAGAATGGCCTCCAGTTCCATCCATGTTGTTGCAAATGACAAAATCTCTTTCTTTTTTATGGCTGGATAGTTCTCCATTATATATATATATATATATATATATATATATATATATATGTACATTTTCTTTATCCATTTGTGTGTTAACAGACAGGTTGCTTCCAAATCTTGGCTATTGTGAATATTGCTGCAACAAACATGAGAGTACAGATACCTCTTTGATATACTATGGTATAGTTTGTATATTTATCCCTACCCACATCTCATGTTGAATTGTAATATCCAGCATTGGAGGTGAGACCTGTTGGGAGGTGATAGGATCGTGGGAGTGGATTTCTCATGAATGGTCTAGCATTGTCTTCTTGGTGCCATCCTCACCCCATGTGACGTGATTGTTCCCACTTTGCCTTCTGTCGTGAGTGAAAACTCCCTGAGGCCTCTGCAGAAACTGAGCAGATGCTGATGTCCTGCTTGTACAGCTTGCAGAACCACAAGCCAATCAAATCTCTTTTCTTTATAAATTACCTAGCTTCAGACATTCTTTGGTGAAAAAGTAACTGTGCTTTTTGCTATTTTAATTTCAAAAACCACAGTTACTTTTGGCAATGCAAGAATGGCCTGGTACATACTGATTTCCTTTCTTTTGGGCATATTTCTACAAGTGGGATTGTTGGATCATATGGTAGATCTATTTTTAGTTTTTTGATGAACCTCTAAACTGTTCTCCATAGTGGCTATACTAATTTACATTCTCACTAACAGTATATGAAGGTTCTCTTTTCTCCACATTCTCACCAGCATTTGTTATTGCCTGTCTTTTGGATAAAAGCCATTTTAACTGGAATGAGATGACGTCTCATTGTAGTTTTGATTTCCATTTCTCTGGTGGTCAGTGATGTTGAGCGC